TAAAATACACCTATTCTAGAAAAACTCGAAGTTGGTGTTGTTGATTGACTTCTACTCATAGTGACGCTGTCATTTTAGCTCTTACATGTGGCGAGTCACACTCGTTCTCTTAGACAATACATCTGTCTGGCAGCGAGGAGTTTGCTGTTTGTCTGTAACAAACGAGCATGGTCTCTTCCGTATTTTACCTAATTATTCGTTCTACAATTAACACATTCATCTTGGCAAACCATCCATTTGACCCAAAAAGATTTTCTATTCAACTACGAAATCTTTGAACGAGAGTTGCAAAACCCCATGTGTCATCTCTCATACTTCCTTCACACGGCTCTAAGGGCTACTTTTGCGTGAATCACAATACACCATGTGCTATAGTCAGCACGACCCTGGTGTTGTCATCGACAACGTCTGGATGTTTCGTGCTCTAACACTTTTGGCTGGTAAGAGAGGTTCCTTGAGCCTTCGTGACAAGATAAGGGAAATATGATACGTATTTATTTTTGGCGCCTTGATTGAATATGCGATCCATAGAGTGTGTTGTGTCATAGTTACGTAGCGAAGCATTCAGCTGACACATGCTATAAACTGGAATGCGAAACACAACTCAGATTCCATCCGCGTCCTGGTGCTGTGTCATTATCCAATAGTTCGATGCACTAACAGGTCTTTGTCCGTTCATATGTTTTGTAGGGTATCTCTAGGCTCATCGATACGAGCAACCCATCCTTTGATTATATTGTTCCCATGACCTTCTTGCCTAAGGGTTGGGAGTCGCTAAATTCGCGACTTTGGGCATCATCATGCATGCCGCGGGGCTTCAGACCAATCAAAAGGTGTTGCGAAGTGCGTCAATGCGTAATCATGCTGGAAAAATTGAGTCATTGTTATTGCGCTAAGCTGCATTCGATGATTTACGAACATGAGGTGTCGCAACACAAGCTTTACATTAGCGTTGCGCGTTCTTGATGCGACGATCATGTAGTAGCGTCGCATGTGTTCGTCAGGCCCTGCTAATCGCATACAGATACGTAACAGAGTCAACTGGCTTGTTATAGCGCACAGCATGCATATGACTATACATATGGACACGATCTTTGGAAAGCCTCAACTGATGTGGTGCTGGGTCGAGCGGCGCAACCCGAGTAGCGATGACTACTATTAGACTTGTTCGCTCACCCTATTGCATAAAGCCGCTTTGTGGGCGGTATAATATCATGGTGTTGGTGGACGTATCATTGGGCAGATTGACACCTACTGTAGACGTGGCTTCTGAACTCTGTTGAGGAGATTGAGTGTGCGACCGACACTGTGGGATATCTATCCTTGGGCGCTTAGATTGGTTGGTTTCCGGTTGGAGGAAGCCTATTTCTGATTCAATACCCACAAAACTTGTGAAAGAAAGATTCGTCCGAATCGCTCGATTCGCCTAAGTGTGCTCTACTTTCAGATCGGCTGCCGTGTGCTGCTGAATTTCCCCCGACTGTCAGCCGAGAATGATTCCTATATGATTTTAGCAATGGTGCGAGATCAGGCGCATCTGGAGTGCCCCTTCGCTGAAGGGACTCAGACCGGTGCGGAGGTGACAGTGATACAGGTTCTAGTGATAGCTGTGCGATGTGTTCCAGTGCTACTGGAAGAACGCATTTTCATTTTTTTCTTTGCAAGGTTCAGCGAAGCAAGATGCACAGGAGGTCCGACGACAATGCATTTCAGCTCCAGAGAGGACAGATCATCTACATCGTGCGCTATGCAACCAGCTTCCTTCAACCCATGTTGCAACAATGACATTTCACAAAGATGGCATTCTTTTGCCACACGGTGCGTCAATAGAGAGTTTTGACATAACTAATTCGCAAGTCTTATTCGTTGACTCATATCTACAGTATAGCGAACTTGACAAGCGCATCCTTCCAAAAAGGTCCAGTTTGATCTATGTAAGGTGACGCGAGTCCACTCGAAGACTGGGACTACTGTGAGTATCATAAATTTGCACCAAAGCAAGCAATAATGTAATGGAAAGTTTTTACTTACCCCTAAGAAAGATTTGATCACATCTCTACAGTTGCTTTATAGATATCGATGTTTACTTTCCATTCTCCAACACAGATACGAGGGAATTTCAACGCATGTTAGCACAGAAGAGTCTTGGTTTGACCGCATCGAGGTAAATAATCCAGAGCTAGTTTCCAAGATCTCCTTAGAAAGCGCATGACGATGACACGCGCGAATACAGGTCCCAAACATCTGCGGTCGTGGGTACATTAGACCCGAAATAATACTGTTCATTTTCGTCCCACTGCTGAAATTAAAAACAATTAAACTAAACGCAACCCTCCTGATGCTCCTTTTTAAAACTATAAGTGAAGGCTACGGCAATAGTTATCCAAATAGCAAAATGCAACGCTGCAAAGAGTTTATGAACCTAATTACGAAATCCATACCCATAACGCTAATAAGTATCTACACATCTCCTTGTGTTATACAACGTTTAGTGACTTTAATAAGATATTTAGCATTTTCTTGACGTGCGTCCAACTGCACAAGCTGATGCGAAAACGTGATCTGAAGGTCAAAGATAAATACATCATTATTGAGATGTAGCCCTGGAGGGTAACGGAGAAAATGATGGAGGAAGATTTTGAGATTCGGCGTGCTAGTACAAACACAGGCTGTGAATAATACATGGATTTCAAGAGAACTTAAGGTCTAGATATATGTACTGCTTACTAGATACTTTCGTCGTTGCCAAACAACTCCTGAGTGCTACTCGTGATACTGCCTAATTATCCTATAGAAGAAACACCTCGCTCGCCTTGCCATGTCACGCGCCTCTACACTTTCTCTGCGTCATGGTCGCGTTGCGCACACCAGGGTTCTTCAGTGTGTACAATTCTTCATTGCCGCGCCCAATGATGATAGTGGGAACAAAGGAGCAGCAGTAGAGTTTTTATAAAAGGATTTCAATCTACACAACATGTAGGTGAGTCGTGAAGGTGTTGTCGTAGATTTTTCGTGCTAGCGAACTTTCTATCGCAGGTATCGCAGTCGTATGAAGGCCTGTGGACCGAAGAGAAGAGGTGTTGTTTCAGGCTATGTCTGTCGTTGAAACTTCGGTTGCAGGCATCGCAAGCATACGAGCCGGTATGAAGTGGCGAGTTGTCGAAGTGTTGGACCAATGCGTCCTGATCTCCAAATCGTTTGTTACAGGCTTTGCAAAAACATGCCATAATTCGAAATTATCAACAGCTCGAGTTAGGCCTTAGGCTTGATGGCTTAAGAGGTAAAAAGAGATTGTGAGAAAGGTGGAGTGATCGCATCATGAGAGCTACGTTACATCACCTAAGAATACGTTTTACCCCACTACGTAAGCTAACAACGCCACTCCACCAGGTAGCTTTTGTTGCATTTTGGAACTATCACTTTTGCTTGCGACACCTACATAGTGCCAGAATGATTTCTTAAGTCGTCGCCGCGATATTTAACTCTAACTCGAATGACCGTTTAGACACCACTCAGGCAATAATCACCGAATATGGGTAGTTAGATAATTAGACCTCAAAGCGACAAAGTCCCTTGCCAAGTCTATATTTTTGCACTGTATTGCCTGGGCTACTTATAGAGTATAATATCCTATCATCCAACCGCTTACTACTAGAAAATCATGAGGTCATAGTCGCCTTCGTGGATTGACCGATCTCATGATGCAACAAGACTCCTCCACTACAGATCTACCACTAAGTTGTATGACCCGATCAAACCATAACATAGTAGGTTCGAACTAACTTATTCGTCATATAGCAGCTCTAAGTCTCAGCTGAATATACTCTAAAAACAGATGCGGACTTTTGTCGTCCGGGGTTTTCTTGCGTGTACTAGTATTTTAGTCTAAATACTGAAGTCAACACTGTGGACGGCAGCCGCTTTTGGAGGACAATCGATCAGTTTTCTGCAGAATAAGGAAATGCCAGAGTCAGCTTTTAGCTATCTTGTCACCACAATTTGATTAGCTGTGAAGTGTGTTTTTTAAGAGATGATCTCAGCGACAGCATGATAAATCGAACTTCTCGCAGCTTGACAATCACACGGAAAGGAATTATTGAGAACGGTTCTTCCTCCTCCCACTCTGCCGAGAACTTCAGGGTCAGGTGAAGGACCGCTCTCTAGTATATTGTTTTAAACTCTATGCGGTCATTGACCATATATGCAACAAGAATTAGGAACCCAAGTCCGTGTATAAGATGTCACACTTTTTCCGAATGACGGAACCCAGTTGGTATCGATGGACCCAAGGTCTCTGTACAGTCGTACTTGTCGCAGAGGAGTGACAGACGCACCAACTGCTCTGCATCTATGGTGGAGTCTGAGCGGCTACTTCGATAACGAAGAATCCTGAGCAACAAGCCCATAAGATAAATATTGTTTTCAGGGCAATCTTCGTTGAGTAGTCACTGTCATTGGTGAAAAGAAGGCTTGAACATGTTCAAAAAGATGGAAGATGCGAGCCGAAGAACCGCCGTCGAGACTCGAAACTTGGTTCCGACACCACTATCCTGGCCCAGCCACTTCAGCACAGTATCTCTTTCGGAGTCGAGTAGGGTAGTATGGTTCGGATCGTTAGCGATTAGAGATAAAGCCTCATCTTCCCATAACAGTCATAATACTAGACTAAGGCGTTTCATCAAGTTGACATACTTGCTGCATGATGAAAGACTGCCGTACTTCAGAGCACCTATTTCCCGCTACACCCTCGCCCATCGTAGCAATTTCGCACGATTTTGTAAAAAGAATTGTCCTGTTTCATACATCACTCGTACGTAACCTACCGACGTCATTTGGTACTTCGTAACGCATTGCCGGGTGAGGGGCGAATATATGGCCATTATAATCCGTCATGGTACTCAACGCAAGGTCAGAGAATGTCAGAGCCAAACGCTATGCGCTTGTACGTCAATGGGCATCTAGACAAAGAACAAAGCATGATCGCCGCGACCATCCGATTCATTCCATAATTGAGGCATATATTACGTCATATTAAAGCAGGTTATTTCTTAGTTCACAACAACACAAGATTAAGATACTAAGTTAACAGCATTGTTGAAAACTAGGGGTAATGAGTCTAAGTTCGCCAGGGCTTTGCAAACACTTCAATCGGGTTGCGTTTATTGACAAACTGGTAGAAGACAGCTTTGTCTCTCATAGAGAGGAAGATGCCATAGGCAATGGCAAAAGCTCCGTCATTTTCAACCGTGCAAAGGCATAGGTACCGTTGTCAGACCTGAGCCTTTGAGACTTGATACGACCCCTTCATTGAACGTGAGGAGCGGCTTTAATCATTCAAGATCACAGAGGTGTTCCGGTGCGGGTATAGTGGGCCCTGGGGTTGAAAGTAATTGATTGGATTTTGCACTAGCGCAGCCCCTAGACGTATCGTTGGTAGATTAAGATCTATGCAGTGTATGTCGTCATGTGTCTACTTGATCAGGAACAACGTACTATTGGGGATATTTGTCTACAAAAAGTGATTAAAGATTCCACTACCTACTCCACCCACTCGGACACCCATTTGCATTCAGGCTTTCACCACAAACTTCGGATTCGCCTCATGGCATCGTCATTCTCCATCGTTGTAATCGCTCTTGCTTTTGCGAGTCCAGCTTTAGCAGGTCCAGCCGCCTACGGATTGTGTCAGGCGGGTTGTTCTGCAGTAGTTATGGCCTGTTACTCTGCAGCTGGCTTTACTTGGGGGGCTACCCTCGGTGCTTCCGCGCCTGCTAGTATCATTGCCTGCAACACTGCATTTGGTACCTGTCAGGCTGCGTGTGCGGCCGTGCTTCTGAGTCCAACACCGTAGAAGGTACGAAAGCGCGCCGGCCGTTTTCTGTTTATCTATCCCAAGAGGCTTCAAAATTACCACTAACGATGAATGCTAACTCCTCAATCTTCCAAAGTGGATATTCTGAGTTCGTTTACGAAACAAATACGACTTAGTAACAAAAAAATGAGTACTTAAAGCAAGAAAAAAGAACATCATCTTTCCTTGTGAAAGATGCTTGGGTAACTAGTATCAGAATTCAAGAAATTGAACAAGACATCTAAACCTATATTTTCTTGATATGATACGTGGTTTGGACTTTCTTTTCAGATGAAGCTATAGATTACACTACATCATAAATAGTTGATGCACCCTATATCAGTGGTCAATGGAAGCAACTCAATCATATTCTTCACTAAAAAATAGTGAAAGACGACATAGTTGAAGTATTGCGACTCTCACTCATTGCAGGTAGCCGTACTAGCTGCAGAATGAGAGTCGTTATCAACTAGTGACCAGTTTAACGGGCTAAATGCCCTTTGGACAGCTCCTCGATGGAATCTCGGTTTACTCGCAGAATCCGGGCCCTAACAGCTACCCGGAGATTTCCAGCCTCTTACACCTGGAAACGGCC